GATCTGATAGACAGAGTGCCTGATGAACTATGGATGGAGGTTTGTCACATATAGGGATCAAGACCATCCCCAAGAAAAAGAAATGCAAAAAAGCAAAATGGCTGCCTGAGGAGGCCTTATAAATAGCTGTGAAAAGAAGAGAAGCGAAAAGCAAAGGAGAAAAGGAAAGATATTCCCATTTGAATGCAGAGTTCCAAAGAATAGCAAGGAGAGATAAGAAAGCCTTCCTCAGTGATCAGTGCAAGGAAATGGAGGAAAACAATACAATGGGAAAGACTAGAGATCTCTTCAAGAAAATTAGAGATACCTGGGGAACATTTCATGCAAAGGTGGGCACAATAAAGGACAGAAATGGTTTGGACCTAACAGAAGCAGAAGATGTTAAGAAGAGGTGGCAAGAATACACAGAACAACTGTACAAAAAAGATCTTCACGACCCAGATAATCACAATGGTGTGATCACTCACCATTGAGTGAGAGCCAGACATCCTGGAATGTGAAGTCGAGTAGGCCTTAGGAAGCATCACTACGAACAAAGCTAGTGGAGGTAATGAAATTCCAGTTGAGCTATTTCAACTCCTAAAAGATGATGCTATGAAAATGCTGCACTCAATATGTCAGCAAACTTGGAAAACTCAGCAGTGGCCACAGGACTGGAAAAGGTCAGTTTTCATTCCAATTCCAAAGAAAGGCAATGCCCAAGAATGCTCAAACAACCGCACAGTTGCACTCATCTCACACGCTAGTAAAGTAATGCTCAACATTCTGTAAGCCAGGCTTCAGCAATACGTGAACCGTGAACTTCCAGCTGTTCAAGATGGTTTTAGAAAAGGCAGAGGAACCAGAGATCAAATTGCCAATATCCACTGGATCATCAAAAAAGCAAGAGTTGCAGAAAACATCTATTTCTGCTTTATTGACTATGCCAAAGCCTTTGACTGGGTGGATCACAGCAAACTGGAAAATTCTTCAAGAGATGGGAACACCAGACCACCTGACCTGCCTCTTGAGAAACCTGTATGCGGGTCAGGAAGCAACAGTTAGTACTGGACACGGAACAATGGACTGGTTCCAAATCAGGAAAGGAGTACGTCAAGGCTGTATATTGTCCTCTGCTTATTTAAGTTATATGCAGAGTACATCATGAGAAATGCCGGGCTGGAAGAAGCACAAGCTGGAATCAAGATTGCCAGGAGAAATATCGATAACCTCAGATATGCAGGTGACACCAACCCTTATGGCAGAAAATGAAGAATTAAAGAGCCTCTTGATGAAAGTGAAAGAGGAGAGTGAAAAAGTTGGCTTAAAGCTCAATATTCAGAAAACTAAGATCGTGTCACCCGGTCCCATCACTTCTTGGCAAATAGATGGGAAAACAGTGGAAACAGTGGCTGACTTTATTTTGGGGAGCTCCAAAATCACTACGGATGGTGATTGCAGCCATGAAATGAAGATACTTACTCCTTGGAAGGAAAGTTATGACCAACCTGGACAGCATATTAAAAAGCAGAGACATTACTTTGCCAACAAAGGTCCGTCTAGTCAAGGCTATGGTTTTTCCATTGTTCATGTATGGATGTGAGAGTTGGACTGTAAAGAAAGCTGAACATCGAAGAATTGATGCTTTTGAACTGTGGTGTTAGGGAAGACTCTTGAGACAGTCTCTTGGACTGCAAGGAGATCCAACCAGTCCATCCTAAAGAAAATCAGTTCTGGGTGTTCATTTGAAGGACTGATGTTGAAGCTGAAACCCCAATACTTTGGCCACCTGATGCGAAGCCTCTTTGGCTACCTCTTTTGAAAAAACCCATATGCTGGGAAAGATTGAAGGCAGGAGGAGAAGGGGACGACAGAGGATGAGATGGTTGCATGGCATCACCGACTCAATGGACATGGGTTTGGGTAGACTCCGGGAGCTGGTGTTAGACAGGGAGGCCTGGCGTGCTGTGGTTCATGGGGTTGCAAAGAGTTGGACACGACTGAACTGAACTGAACTTTTTGGAGGATCACAATTTAACTCATAATAATCGCCAGGACCTCTGGGGCTGTCCTGGGATGAATTCTAAACCATTGTCAGAGGATTGTTTTTCTGGTCACACTTCATTTTAAACAATTCTTAATCTTAGCTGTTAGATTCATCCACATCTAGGTGATGGAGACCCAAGTAACTGAAGTTTATAAGACTTGCCTTAAACCATGATAAAAGTTTTTTTAAACAGATCCCAGGGTATATACATCGTGAGTTGATGTTGCTCAAAAAGTGTGGGCTCTCTTGATGAAAATTGCTCTTGAAGTTTTGCAGTACTTTTGTTTTAATCTACAGAATGTTTTGATTAATGTTTCTCCTGTTAGTGTGGATTTCTTTTTTTGTTTAATAGCAAAAAATACTTGGAATCAAGTTTAGTGAATTCATTAGTAACCCAGTTAGGTAATGGTCTTTTTGGTTTAAAAAAAAAAAAAAAGAACCAGTTATAAAGTAATGACACATTCCTGTGTGATTTAGAAATTTATTTTGGGAACACTTCCAAAGTGTTTTTAAAGTTTAATTTTTACTCCAGAGATAAATAGAACTATAATGTTAAAACAAGTTACTATTTTTAAAAGTATGTATTATGTTGAGCATCATAATGTGCTATGCCATGAAACTTGGCTTCCTAAAACTAGTCTTTTGTTTCATAGCAAGAATATTGCTAAAACCTGTCAAAAATAATCATGGACATATTAGTTATTCATTTCAGATAATTCAATATATGAACTTAAGTTATGTTGATGATGTGAATTCATGGGAAGAGAGACTTTGAAAAGACGATTGTTTTTTGTAATGTGCTTTTACATTTGTGTTTGTCTGTTTCAGGTCAGGCATCCTTTTGAGGTTTCTCAGGGGTGTTTTGAAGGAGATACTATCTCAGTATCTATAATCATAAATGTGTTTAAAAAGCACAATAATTCAGGGTATTTATTTCCAAATGTATATTCCTTTGAAAAGAGATAAATCTTTTAAAACATTTGTAAATCAGAAATTATAATGGGAATGAATCTTATTAAGAAATACATAAGTGGTTGGTGTGTCTCTAACTGATAATAACAGGAAAACTTCAAGAGGGTTGTGAGGAAATTTGAAAAACTGCTTCTTTGAAAATATCCTATGTTGTCTGAAAGGGTGATAACTTGGTATTTATCTCTCCAGACATCTCTTTACAACCATTTATTTCTTTGCATTAATAACATATGGAATGTATAGCGTGTGTCTTACCTGCTGTTGACTAATCATGGCTTCTAGCTAGTGTGAAGATGTCAGCGTGTATCTTACTGCACAGTCCCTGCCATACCATGTTAAAAATACAGCCATCCTAGTGTCTCGTGGAATCAGTTACAACACGTGCTGTCACTGCCCTGCTTCAGTAGTCAGCGACTTTTCCCCAACCACTTATCCCTTTTTTCTTAACTCCTCGTGGTAACTTGAGTTGGAAAAGACTACTCTGGTTCAGTTCTTGAGGGAATTCATGCCTGAGAACATTAAATTTCTTAAAATTACATAGTAGTAGGGTACAGGGCCTTCCCTGGTGGTTCAGATGGTAAAGAATCTGCCTGCAATTCCAGGAAACCTGGGTTCAATTCCTGGGTCAGGAAGATCCCCTGGAGAAGGGAATGGCAGCCCACTCCAGATTCCTGCCTGGAGAATTCCATGGACAGAGGAACCTGGCGGGCTCCGTGGGATCCGTGGCTTTGCAAAGAGTCAGACACGACTGAGCATACACACACACAGTACAGACTGTATTACATTTTCCGTGTTTCAGGAGAGCGCTCGTCTCACGCTCCTGGTGTCTTACTCAGTGCTGCCCTCTAGTGTGGGGGCTAAATCTCTGACCCGTACAAACTGCAGTTTCATACGACTCCACTGAATGGAGAGTATAAGCCTTTTGTGCTAACCTCTGGAATCAGACTTTGATAGCAGACCCCTTGACGCCTGGGCAGGTGACTGTGATGCCTCTGCATTTCCTTTTCTGCAGAGAAGACAGAACCCGTCCACATACCATAGAGTTACTTTGAGGATTAAAATCAGGTAACCATGGGAGACATTTGAAGGCTTTCGGTAAATGCTCCTTTTATTATTGCTGTCCTGGTTTTTTGGTTTCATTATTTCTATTGTTTTTGACATAGAAATGTCTAAAGGCAGAAAGAAATCTGACCAAGAATAGAACACAATCTGGTCGTGAAGGGCAGGGCTGACCAAAAACACGACCCACGCTTTGTGCTAACTTCCCCAGGTCAGCAGAACAAGAGTGAGAATAAATGCTGGAGAGAGTTGTGCTTTGCTTTATGGTATACAGAAACAGGGGACTTCCCTTGTGGCTCAGATGGTGAAGAACCTGCCTGCAATGTGGGAGACTCGAGTTCGATCTCTGAGTGGGGAATATCCCCCAGAGAATGGAATAGCTATCCACTCCAGTATTCCTGCCTGGATAATTCCACGGACACAGGAGCCTGGTGAGCTGCCGTCCGTGGGGTCGCAGAGTCGGACGTGGCTGAGCGACTAGCACTTTAACTTTCACATAGAAACATACATATACATGTGTCCATGGTTGTACAAGGAAGGTGTGGATTAGGGAGTCACTGAAAGTCTGAATTAAGACCGGTGATTTCACTCAGAAAACTTTGGTCTTGATGCGCTTGGTAGAAAGTTGTGGGTTTCCCTGACGAGCACTCTGTTTCCCCCCGGGCTCAACCACGTGGAGCACCAGTGACGGCACTCCTCCTTGCCTCTTTATCGCGCTCTCCATTCGCCACTGGGGACCATACTAAGGCGATTTACGGAGCGGTGACACATACGTGGGGGAAATGGGCGAGCTTGTTTATGAATGCGTTGGGTAAAGGTGTTTCCACAGAGGGAGGGGGGAAAGGGGTGGTATAAACATGTTTGACAGTTTTCCCCTTCAGAAGCTAGTTATAAACTAACTTGCATGTCACCAAGAACTTCTGTCTTTTCCTCTGTTTTCTAGAAGGCCAGCAATGATGCCAGTCACAGCGATACCAGTATCTCATCATCAGAGCCAAAGAGCAGAAGTAGTCTTCACTTGCTGGCCCATGAAGCTAAAATCGGGTCCTTGTTAGGCAACAGCAGTCTCGATGTCAACGCCAAAGCGGATCCTGGTCCAGATGAAGATGACCTGGAAGGGGATTCTTTCTTTGATGACCCCGTTCCTAAACCAGAAGCAGCGTACGGTTGGTGAGTAACCTGTGCTTTTATGTTATCAGACCAGAGGCTTAGAAATGGAGTTTCTACATGTTTTATTTTGTGTTTAAGAAAATGAGCTACCAATGGTCTGTAATTATTGAGTTCATAAGTCTGATTTTGTGTCCTGAAAGCCTTTTAGGGCTTAAAGAGTCCAGGTTTTGAAAGGCCTGGACATTAACGATTTCGGCAGGTAGGTGTGTGGCGCGTGCTGGCCGCATGCCAGGTGCAGCAGTGGTGAGGCAGGCAGGCTCTGCCCCTGGGCGCTCACGCTCGGATGGCAGCGTCCGCGAGGGCCCGTCAGGCGCCGTGTCTGGGGGACCCAGCCGTGTGGGGGACTGAGCTTTGAGGGCAGGAGTGCCAGTGTGGAGGGCCGCTGGGTCTCGAGGTGTCAGAGAAGGCTTCAGCCCCAGGGCGGGCTCTCGGAGGGGAGAGGAGGCCAGGCGCGGGCCAAGGCGCCTGTGGGAGGTGGAGTGACATGGCCAGGCCTGGCCCCACTGTTAGGGTCCCGGAAGCCCTGGGGTCTGAGCAGCAGAGGGACCAGAACAGACCTGCGCTGTGATGGGATCTCCTGGCTGCTGGGTCTGCAGACAGAAGCTGTGGGGTTAGCCAGGTGGAAGTGGTGAGGATAGTTGGCTAGGGATGTAGTCTAAATTTGGATCCAAAGGGATTTGCTGGTAATTTGCTTCATGGCATCCTTTGCTGCACCTGTACCTGCAAATCCCTTCCTGGGCTGAGTCACTGGTGTTGCTGCTAAGTCACGTCAGCCCACCAAGCTCCGCCGTCCCTGGGATTCTCCAGGCAAGAACGCTGGGGTGGGCTGCCATTTCCTTCTCCAATGCAGGAAAGTGAAAAGTGAAAGTGAAGTCGCTCAGTCGTGTCTGACTCTTCGTGACCCCATGGACTGTAGCCCACCAGGCTCCTCCATCCATGGGGTTTTCCAGGCAAGAGTACTGGAGTGGGGTGCCATTGCCTTCTCCGGCTGAGTCACTAGAAGGTTGGAACTGCCGTCACTGAGGTGAAGAGTGGAGAGAGCTAGGCTGGCTGCACAGGGGGCTGTGTGACCATCCAACCTCACTTCCCACCCGCTCATTGGAGAAGGTTGTCAGCAGGAGGAAGTCTGTTTTCAGGTGTGAGTGGGTGTGAAGGCAGAGGTCTGGGCTAGAGGAGACTGGAAGGACTCGTCCCTCTGAGCTAAAGGCCCGGCCGGGAGCTGAGGGCCCCTGAGGCCGGGGCACGGCGGGAAGGGAACCCGGAGGAGGGTGGACGCGTGCTCAGCTTGTGCAGGCTGCCTGGGGCCTTCCCGGGCAGTCTGCTCGAGGGGGGCGGGGGGGCAGGGTGGGCTTGAGAGCCGAGAGTGGAGGGTTGTGGTGACGAGTGGTTTCCTGGTGAGTTGACTGTAGGGGCGCAGAGGACGTGGTGACGGCTGGAGGGGACACAGGTGAGAAACGTCACGGTGGGAAAGCCAGCAGCACGTGTGTGTATTGTTGAGAAGAACTGAGTTTTAAAGAGGGAATTGGAAACGAGGTCAGGGAGGGATGGGGCTCCTGGAGTGCTGGAGGGGTGAGAGGCGCGGTGTTAGAGTGTGAGGAGGCGGGCCAGGCGTGCGTGGTGTTGTCAGACATCCGCGGGAGGGGGCGGTCCGGCTCTGAGCAGGGGTCAGCTTTGGGGTCGTCCATGGCCTGGCCCCAGGGCCGTGTCTGCGGCGCTCGTTGGCTCCTGCGCTGTCCCTTGGCTGCATCTCTGGGCCCCTGAAGTGACTGCCAGTGCGGCACAGACGGTGAAGCTGATGAGGGGCAGGTTTGTTTGTGGGAGAAAACTCTGGATAGGCAATAATGTCCTACGTGAATTTGCAGTGATTCTTAGTCTACTTTGCCTTGCAGGTACACATTTTGGCTTCAATCTGTGATATGTATATTCTTTGTTTCCCAGCGCCTGTGTTGCCTGTGAGATGTATTCAAGTTGCTTAGGTGTTAGGGGCAGCGTGTAAGAACGCCATTAACTGCATGCTTGTTTCTCGTCAGGAGAAGTGAACCCAGTAAGCAAGCAGGAAGCCTTGCATCGCTGTCTGATGCGCCCCCCCTAAAAAGTGGACTCAGCTCCCTTGCTGGAGCCCCTTCATTGAAAGAGTCTGAAAGTGAGTGTCTGAAAGTTCTAGACTTGCTGATTGAAGACATGTACTTCTAAGGCTGCTGCTATTTTTTTCTCTAATTGTGTATGATCATTTATTTTTTTCATAAAAATATATGTAAAATCATAAGAACAGCCTATAATTTTGCTACTCAGTGATATTTTCAGTTAATATTTTGTTACTTTTAAAATTTCTGTTGAGTCTGGTCATAGCTTCTATACTGTTTGTATTCTGCTTTTCCTATGCCATGAAAATACTTTTAGAAAACTGAGTTTATAGCTGTCTTATATAATAAATAGATATAATTTTAAGCCATCTCTGTTTTGCTGGACATTTAAAATGAGTTATGTAGGATTTAAGTACAATTAATTTTTTAAAGTTTGCATCAGAGATTCCGTACATACAACAGTAATCATTGTAAGAATGTTAGAATGCTCCTCTGCCTTTGGCAATCTGGATCAGCTGTATGTTTTTATATGTAGTCGAGATGGGGGTTGATAGCTTGACGCGGAGTGGCCTTGCTGCACACAGATGGTGACAAGACCAAGGTTTAAAGGCATAGCCTTAAACATGTAGTAAGCATGCAGATGAACTTTGTATACTGTATCAGAGTAAATACAGGATTTAACTGCCAGTGTTTAGAGCATAAATGTGCCCCTTTGAGTAGATCTTTGTTAGGAAATTGCTCTGGCATTTTGCATAATCTTATAATGCTACTCAGCTCCCCAGGTGGCGCCAGAGGTAAAGAACGTGCCTGCCTGCGCAGGTGACGTAAGAGGTGCTCGTTGGATCCCTGGGTCAGGAAGACCCCTGGAGAAGGAGATGGCAGCCCACTCCAGCATTCATGCCTGGAGAATCCCAGGGACTGAGGAGCCTCGCAGGCTGCAGTCCCCGGGGTCGCACAGAGTCGGGCACGGCTGAGTGTGCCTGCAGTGCAGCTGAGCCTTGGTGCGATGGGACACCACTGTGGGTGGATTCCCCGGGGCACGGACAGCAGGCACCTGTGGCTCGTCTCGGCAGCTGGTAAACTCGCCACGTGTCTGTTAGACCGCCACGTCCGTTCCCCTCCTTTTCTCCTTTCCTGTGGCCTTGTCACCATCAGGGAAGGAGTCAGAATGCCATGGTCCTGCTGCTCTTAACACTGATTTGGGAGTAGTGACTCAGAGAGGCCGTTGAGAACGAGGGCTGAAAAACAAAGCCGTGAGGAGCTTAGCTTAGTGCACAAAATAGCCATTAAATTGAAGCGGAAGGCAGAAGTTTAACAGAAAAATAAAACTGATGAGAATAGTTGTGGTCTGTGAATTCATACCCAGTAGTGCTTCTTATGGAAGGTTGACATCTGATGGTTGGGTAAAAATGGTTTCAATTGCCAACTTCCAAAAAAGAATATAGTATGGCTACAAAAGGTCTGTATATTATAGTAGTGTGTAGTTAAAAGGGGTGTGTAATACAAAATGTAAGCATATTTTATTGTATAATGAATAATGCAGTGTATTTAGTCACAATTTGTAATTTCTTATTAGTGTTCAGTTATTATGTGTCAACAGACCCTGAAAAAAAAGTTGACATGGTTTAGAGACTGTTGTATTCTAACAGACAATTTAATGTGAATATTTTTTCCTGTTCACAGGTAAAAGGGGAAACCCAATTCTAAAAGATGTTAAATTGGTCAATGATAAAATTGGATCACTTGGATTAGGTAACTGAATTTCCAGTTTCAGTATTGATTACTTTCTGGTGATTGTTTTTTAGAATGAAATCTTCAGTGAAGGGTCAGCCAGCCTATCTGGAGCTCCTTATATTAGTCAGAGGTGCTCGTGTTCACAGACGGGCACTTTGCATGTTTAAAGCGCAGGTCAGCACTCTGCAGAGGGACAGAGTGGGCACTTCTGGCCTGTGGGCCACGTGCAGTCTGTGTCCAGTGTTGGTGTGTTTACAGTCACTGAAAACTGTAAAAGTCACTCTCAGCTCACAGGCTGCCCGGAAACGGGTTGTAGGCAGATTTGGCCTGGGGCTCAGCTCTCCGTAGAACCAGGCGGTCAGCAGCTGATGGCCGGCTCCAGCACACTGTGTGGTGGCCGTCTTGTCCTGGAGTCGGCTGCAGAAGCTGGAGGTGAGTGAGGGGGTGGTTAGTGTCCCCAGGTTCAGGTGCAGCCCCGTGGCCCCCACTGTGTTAGCTGGGTTCTCACTCTTTGCTCGGTCTGCCTGGGGTAGTTTCTGAAGGAAACGTGTATGTCTAATTGTCAAGATGGTGAGGTATGTTTACTGTAAATATATATGTATGTTTTCTTAAACTTACCAGGGACTGGAGAAGAAGATGACTATGTTGATGATTTTAATAGGTAAGAAAAATGGTTGGACAAGAAATATATAAATTGTAAACAATTTCTGAACAGGACAGTATGACAAAAATCACATTTGTTCTTATTTAGTGTCTGTCTTCTCTTTTTTGTGTTGATTGAACGTGAGTTAAAGAGAGTTAATCCAGAATTGTCCCTAGACTGTGAAGCATGTTTCTGATGTTACATTAGAATGAGGACTTCTTCATCATGTTCAGGGAGCTTATGAGACACAGAAGAGGAACCAGCGGTGAAGGGTGGACTCAGAGGCCACAGGAGCAGTGTGGTCGTGATCGCCAGTGCTTTGCCTCCCCTTTCTGATCTCAGTGCTGGGCATTGTCCACGATTGGCGTAAACGGATCACCCTCTCAAATTGTTTTTCTGATCCAGATGACATTTCTTGATATTTTGTTTCAAATAACTTTTTTATAAATGTAAAGAAAATGTAATCTATGACTTGGCTAATAATTAATTAGGAAGTAATTAAATTAAATCAGTGTGAGGATTTTATGCAATTGATAGTTTTTCTTCCAATTTAGGATTCATGTTTACTTTCTAACATACTTTTGAGAAATGAAATTTTAAAAATGTGGGTTTTCTTTCATGCCATTGTGACCATAGTCACTGTTGTGAACCTCAGTTTTCTCATCTGTTAAATGGATTGGACTGTTCTTGCTGCCACTGCTAAGTTAGCTTAGGGTCAGGTGAGACGGGATGTATGGAATGAATGACATGAAGTATTTTATTCTATTTAAAGAATTAAGATACCTGAAAAACGAAAGAATGGTAGTTACTCTTTATAAATGCTTGTAATCAGAGTTGTTATTTTTCTTTTTCCCTGAAATTAGCACCAGCCATCGTTCAGAGAAGAGTGAGCTGAGTATTGGGGAAGAGATTGAGGAGGACTTCTCTGTGGAAATGGATGACGCCAACACCAGTGACAAAGTGCGATGCTGTTCCTTCCCTGCGGCGGGCCATCGGTGCCTGTTGCCTTGAGTCACTGGGAAGCTTCAGAAGCTAGGAGAAAAGTTGAAAATTAGGAAAGGTTTATGGTGGAGTTTCCTGCTCCAGATCTGGGATCAGTACCTGTCATGAATGTTTTCAGTTATGGCCCGCTTTGCTTGCGAAATGCCTGTGTGTTATTACTGGGACTTCCACTGCTGTGGGCATAGGTCCACTCCAGCAGGTCAGGACTGGAGTCAGAGCCCACTGCCTCCGGGTGCAGACAGTATAGGCAAGGGGGTCCTCGTCAGAGAAGTCCCTGTGGGAGGCGGTGGCCGCGGGGGAGCCCCGTGAACGCCGGAGCTGAAGCAGAGACTGGCTGCAGGGTGTCGGCGAGCCCTGCGCAGGCCGGGGCGTGAGACCGCGCTAACAGGCTCTCGGGGGTAAAGTCATGCCTCGGTTTTGGAGATCCACACCTGAGCTGTCTGTCAGCAGAGAGGAGAGTGCCCAGGTGTGTGTTGGGTGTGAGACCTCAGGTGTGAGACGTCAGCTGGCACCTCAGGGCTGGGTATTGGTGCCCACGGTAAACCGAGGGAGGCTGCCTCTCAGCTGAGAGTGGCTCCCACCTGGAGGTGAAGCTTGCTTTGCCGAGTGAGGTAGGACTCTGCCCGTCACAGACTACCACGGGGAAAGGCCTTTGACACAGGCAGCATTGTGTAATGAATCTGGGCCTGAATCTTACTCTTTGATGTGTGTTTGCTTCCACAAGCTTTAACCTTTGATCCTCAGTTTCCTTATTCCTAATGAGATGGGGGTGTTAATGCCTCCCTTATAGAGTTGTTCCGAAGGTTAAGTGATAGTATGTGAAATGCCTTCTTTGGTTCCTGATACAGTGTACTAATAAGTTTGTTTTTTTTTTTTTTTTTTGAATTTGATGACATTCAGAATTTAATTAAAATGTGGGAAAATAAACAGTTGTGAAGATTAGATCTGTTCCTGCAACAAAAATCACTACAGAAAAACAGGGAATCTGAATACAGACTGCAGTTTAAGTTTCCAGTGAATACTAATGTTCATTTCTCGGGTTTCATAAATGATCTGGGAGTGGGTGATAAGTTTGTAATAATTTGTTTTGTCTTACCTTTTCACCTTATGTCATCCTAAAGAGTTCTGAAAATACTGCTTTAAAGCTACCAAAAGAAGTAGAAATTGGTAATTTTAGCAGTCAGTCTTCTTGTTAATGTTGAGTTCATCTGGCAGCTCAGCTTTTGTTATCCTCGCCAATTTCAAAATAGGAAGAAGGAAGTGAGGAAGAAGACTTTAAAAAAAAACTGTATACTTGGAGGATAATTGCTTTACAGTGCTGTTTTCTGCCATACATCCGTGTCAATCAGCCATGGGTGTAAATGTGTCCCCTCCCACCCCTCCCACCCCCGTTGGTCATCACGGCACTGAGCCGTGCTCCCTGGTCGTATGGCAGGTTCCCACTGGCTTGTATTTTACATGCGGTAGTGTATGTGTTTCCACGCCAGGACAAGGACTTTTCACTGAGTCAGTCGGTAGAGTATAAGATGATACTTTAAGTTACAGCAATATGCTAAGAATCATTGACAACTGTTTTTTTGCTGACACCGATCCTCTTCTTTCTTCTGAATGACCAGCTTGAGGACCTGACACAGGACCTGACCGTGTCCCAGCTCAGTGACGTCGCCGATTACCTGGAAGACGTGGCCTAGGCCTGCGCACGCCAGGGTGCTGCTCGGCAGAGGACGGAACTCTGATCAGTTCCCTCCAGACAATCACTCTTTGCTGGAATGTCTGCTCCCTGTTGGTGCCTTGTGTTTCAAAGGATTACAGACATTTTAAAAAATTTTTCATTATACAAAACAAAATAATTCCTGTTTGAGCCCATGTGTGGAAGATTTAATATTCCTAATTTGGTCTAGGTACATGCTTCTCTATGAAAGTTGATCAGGCTCAAATTCACCACAAGGAGGGAGCCGGTACAGCGCTGGTATTAAGTGCATCACGGAGGAGGCAGCAGAACTGTAGGTTCACGGCTCCACGTGCCCACCTGCCTGCCTGCCTGCGGGCCTGCCTGCGGGCTGGCACCAGGGCTCAGGCATTCGGCAGCAGGAGGGGCATCTGCAGGCGGAGGGGGCGATGGCGGGTGGTTCCACAGGGAGTTGGCCCATGGCCTGGAAGATCTGCGGCCTCGAGCCTGTCACTGTAAGTTACACTTGATAGGTTGACTTGGCTTTGCATTTCCTTCCATTTGGGAGGTTTGTTAGACCATTAAGGTTATATTAAAATCCTCGTGTGTGTCCTTCTTAGTTTTGCTCGTTTTAAAGATTTAAAATCTTGAGGTGCTTGTGATTTTTTATTTGTGGAATTGTCCCTGATGCATTTGAGGTCACCATCCTGGGTCTGTGTAAGCAGTTTTATTCACAGGTTCTCCTTATTGCTTTGAAACATATTAAATACCAAAATGCATCTGAAACCATGAAGCAGTGCTTTCATTTCAGATCTGTAAGTTGGTTGTATTTAAATCCATTGGACTGACACTGGTCATGGCCTAAGACCAGACCCAGACGACCAGCTCTGCACACTGCAGTCTCACTGGGGCCCTCGGGGTCGCGCCAGGGGTGGAGTTTGGGGCAGTTCGGTGTGTCTCCCCCCACGCTGCCGTCTGCATAGGTGCAGACACCCGTGGTCCTGCGTGTTACAGAGAACTGCGGAAGTGAGGCGTGCTTGTTCGTAAGCACAGCTGTGACCAAGGGTTAAATTCTGTACTTTTTAATTTCAATTAAAACTTTTTATTAAGAGTTGCCTTTGTTAATAAAAGGAGCAAATTGGAACTTATTGATCTCAAGAAGTGAACAGACTTTGTGGTTTGTATAGCAGGTTTTCATTTCATACTAGTCTATATACTACACAAATGTTTCCTGGGCTCTGAAATGTGAAGTGAAATGGTAGTGTAAGTATTTAGGTTATGTGACATTAGAATCTGGTTTTATAAAATTTCAGTGAAACTGAGCCATGAACCCCAAGAGGAAGCAAGGCAGAATGTGGGCCAGGGTGGCCTGGGAGCCCCTCTGTCAACCCCCAGCTGTGGGCACTGATCTTGGTCTCAGTCATGGCCCACCACGGTCCATGTGAGGACATGGCGCTGCATGAAGATGCAGTCTGCTGTTATAAAATGCATCTCTTGGATGTCATCTCTGTAAACAGTCACTTTGTATAAAGATTATAGTTCTATTCTGGCCCTCTGGAATCTGTCAAATATATGATTTATTTTTTGTATTGTTTGATAGGTAGATTTCTGTGCAATGATTTAAAATCATTTCAGTGGAATAATCATCAAGGTGTGGCTCTTTAATCTTGTGGGAAACTTGCAGATAGTGGCATGTGAAATTTTTCATTTTTCTGTTACCCCTAGAGTCTGATCTTTTGGGGGGATGGGGAGAAAGATGTAAAGTAGGAGACTGTCGTCACAGGCTGCGTCTGATCCAGTAGATTTAGTTGCTTCAAATCGTGCTCTGAAAAAGGTGTTTCCACATGTGTTCCTTGATTAGACAGAAAGTTTTGCTTGTGATTAGTATTTTCTTTCTGTTAAGAAATACATGGGAGAATTCCATGGACAGAGGAGCCTGGTGGGCTATAGTCCATGGGGTTGCAGAATGGTTGGGCCCGACGTAGTGACTAAACAGCAAGAAATACACATTGAAATACTAAGCCAGGAAATAGCATTTTTACCATAAAACTTGTATTTTACAATGGAGTTTTTCAAATGTTTTTTTGTCAGATGCCAATAAAAGTCTCGCTTCATTGATGATGATTAAAATAAGAGCTCACAGTTTCATATTCTGCAGTGACAGTGACCAGCCGCTCGCCATCCCCACATTGCCCTTGTCCCGATCTGATGCCCCCTGCCTCTGGCCCTTTCACGTTTCCTTGTTCTCACCGCAGTGCACGCCGGCACCTGCCGCTTGAGCCTTTGTGCAGCTGCCGGCTGCCCAGGTGGCCCTGTTTCGGGGTGTTCTCACCTCCTTCCCCCGGAGCCCTGCCGGCTGACTCATCTCTGTCTTGTTCTCAGAGAAGCTCCAGCCTGAAGGGGATGCGTTTTCCTGCCGCCCTGTCACAGTCCTGTCTGCCCTGGGTACCTGCTCAGTGCCGCCTGGCTGTGCTGAGTGGGCATCTGCAAGCTCTGTGGGAGCTGGCCTGCTAACCAGTGTGCACCCTGGGTCCCTGGGGCACGTTCAGTCTGCAGACGGCTCAGTACGAGGCCAGGGCGACAGGAGCAGGCTCTCCCTGCTCGGAGCAGGGGCCGGGCGGCTGCTGCCCGAGGACAGCACTGTGCGGTTTGGGCGGCAGCCGTCCTTCCCCGGGACCTGCCGGGGCTGCCAGCCTCAAGTCCGAGCGGTGGGCTTGTGTTCAGTAGAGGTGGGCTCCTGGACACTGGGCCCTGGCTGCACCTCCCGCCTCCAGAGTGTTGGAGGAACATTGCTCGTGAAGGATATAGACAGCCGTTCTGTCTGTGGCTCAGTGTGGACACTGGCACGAGAGAAGCAGGGCTCGAGGTAGCTGTACTGACCGCCCGCTGGCCGTGCCAGGAAAACAGGCATGGAGGACAGCGCTCGCTGGAGAGGCAGGCACCCTGCGGGGCAGTGCTCACCCTCCAGGGTCTGGCCTGGGGCTTGCTGGGACCCCACCTGGTCTCTGTCCCTGCACCTCCACCCACCTCACCTCCTGACACGTTCACACTGCCAGCCCCCGTTGTAGGTAGGGGCCTGTCTGGGGAAGCAGCGCAGAGGAAGGGAGGGCAGCACCTCCATGGACCATCCACGCTGGTCCCAGGTCCCTGGTGGGGAGGAAAGTGAGCAGTGTGGGCCAGAGGCTGAGATGAACGGACAGAATGGCTCATCCTGGGACAACAATTCAAAGAACAAAGAAATTGTAAAAACCTGATTGGAGATTTGAGGCTGTTTGTATCTAAAACTGCTGTGGAAAAGGAACAATTGATTTTTGATTAAAAACTTGGCTAAATGATGGGAGAACTCCATCAAAAAGATGAGTAGCCTGAAAGGCAGAAAGCTCTCTGCACGCACGGCAGAGGCGAACAAGGAGGAAGCAGGATGGTCAGGAGGCTGAGGACGCAGCACGCTCGTGTCCATCCACAGGGCTGCAGCTGAGGCAGGAGACGTTGGCAGAAGCGCGCTTCTGTTCAGAGACACGTGAGTGTCTGGGTGAGTGGAGCCAGGCCCACGGCCGCGTGGACCCTGATTAGTGTGGAGAAAACGTTCCTCCAAGATCATTTCAAAGGAGTGAGAATGAAATTGCCTGACTGGATGCTGGAAGTACCAGAGCAGTGACTGCAAAGTGAGGAGGTGAGATGAATGTTGAACATAGACTTTCTGTCCTGATTGGAAAAGGGGGCCTTCTGCCTGCTGGAAATCGAGCCCACAGCCAGGTGTGAAGTGGGCCTGGTGTCTCGGTCTCGTGGCCCCGGGGCGGTGTGCGCTGCTCCCGGCAGTGGGGGAGGACCTGGGGGCCCCGCCCGCCCTTGTGGAACACGCGGAGCCCTTGCCACGGCCTTGATTCTGCAGATGGTGGCGCTGGGTAAAGTCAGCCTGCTTCCGCAGAAACGGGAAGGAGAAGAGAGGGCTGGGGGGTCCCCGGGCCTGCAGCTCAGGGCGGGTGGAGAGGAAGAGGGATGGGGGGGTGGCGCCTCGCCTACAGGGCTCTTTTCTGATAGTTCAACCTGAGTGCTTCGTCAGTTTACGAAATCTTCAGATTTGGTGAAGTTATTTTTCCTGTGAACGTTTAAATTTTCAAACACTGAGTTCCTGCAAAGGCCAGTTTGTTTTATAATTCACTCAGTTATTGGATATGGACCCTAACCTTTCTTTGACGTCACTTATAGCTTGTAAAACTGAGTGGTAGCTCTTCTGAAATGGGATGTTTTCATGAATGGAATACCCTTTCCACTTGAAGCATTTAGCATCTCTCTCCCTCCTCTCAGTGCATGTGGTGCAGATGCTTTTATCTGAGTACAAGTTTAAATTCTGGTAGGGAGAGCGCTGAGCTGCACCCACCATACTGAGTCTGGGGTTGGGCCTTGATGGCGGGCGCTCCTGCAGCTCTGGCGTGTTGGTGCTTTGGCTGGGAGCACCACCTTCCCCGACTCCCCTTCCCCATCACACACACCTGGGCCCCTCCGACCCTTTCCCTCTTTCAAGGCCCAGCTTAGAGGAAGCAAGTGTTTTGTTTGCTCAGGATGCCAGTGTTGACTCCCTGCATGCCCTGCCGTGGGGGAAATAAACCAGCATTCCTACAGATACTGACAGTGCCGGGCACCAGGCGCGGTGCCAGGTGTGCACAGGTCTCTGCAGTTGGTGACGGAGACGGGGAAACGTCTGTGCCACTGCATGCCGAGGGCTGCCACAGGCTTAAATTTACAGGGCGAGCCTCTTTATTCAGTCCTGCTGCTGAGGTCTGTGTGATGAGCCAGAAGATGAAACATCAGAAGTTATCCCGACATTAAAAGGTACTTACTGTGACAAAATACTTTTTCAGATTATACCAAAATAGTAATTCATGAGTTAGATTTTGAATACAAATAAATGACTAGGCTATTGTATTGTTTGATAATCCAATGAATGAAGAGGAGTAAATCATTAACACACTAAAACCATTTAGATTTACTACTGATGTGACATTATTGAAGACCACAGAA